TAGGCTCGCGCGGGCCAGCGCAGTAGGCACCCATAAATGTGCTTGAACCACCTTTGATTCACCTGACGGGGTAACGAACCCGAGGTCAACATCAAGCACGGTCACAGACTTGAACCTTGGCCTTCGTGGCCAGGTGACATCTAGCACAGCTAAGACGCTGCGGCTAGACAGAGTGCCATGTGCTTAGGGAGTTGGCCAAACAGCTCGTGGAACATCTGGATCTTGGCCCATAGGGCCATCCAGATATCTATGACTTGAATGACTTGCAACTGGCTTTATGTCAATGAACTTTCATTTCAACCGGTCCCTCAGATAGTCGACCTGTTAAACTGTGATTTTGAGTGTCATTGCTGTGGGAGCAGGGCATGTGCACCCAGCACACTCACCATCGCGCACCGCGCGGGCTCAGGTCTTTCGAGATGCTTTTGGGATCCTTGGAGGTGCGCCGGATTCCGCGAAGCGTGGGGGTGGCTTGGATTCGGCCAGGATGCAGGTTGGGTGGGGGCTGAGTGTGTCACAAGTGGTTTCTCTTGAAGTTTCCTTTTGCATCCATCTAGCGGAGGGTTCCCCTGTTTGAATGTCTTGGTTGCGCTGTGAAAATGTCAATTAGTTGAAACCTGAGGAGATTTCCTCACCGACTAGCAAGCAGTCTAACGGTTGGACAACCCCAGGTTTGAACTTCCAGATCGCAATGAGTTCCAGACCCATTCCGGCACTTTTGCATGATTTCATGTGCAAGGAGCTCAAGAAGATGGGCAATGACCGGCCAGCTGTGGTGATGAACCCCCAGGCGCGGGCAGGCACTCGTAATGACAACATGGGCCACCAGACTCTCCTGTTTGGGCTCCAGGCTGGTGGCTGTAGGGAGTTTCCTGGGCCGGCCGAGGCCAAGATGTTCCGAAACGCATCCTTACTGCGGAGCGCCTCGCACATTGGCACTGCTGGAGGCAATGGGAAGTGGTTGCCAGGGTTTTGCCATGCATTCTTGCGCCGAGTTTGCATATCTGATGATGGCTGCTGTAGCATCCCAAAGGCACAGGCCCATAGCCAAACGAAGCCAAACGAGTAAAGGAGGAGAAACAGCAGAGGTATAGCAGACGTGCAACATTGCAACGCCATCAATTTGATGTTGGCGTTTGCCCTGGGCCGTAACTGGCAGGTGATCGCGAAGCGCAGGACATCGGGCCAATAGAGAGGACCTGCCTGCTGTCAATCCTACTGTTTCTGCTTTTGATGCAGGCGCAGGCATTGAAGCAACATGTTCGGAATGCCTTTGCTTTGGGGATGGCTAGCGTTCCATCCTTGGCCTGGCGCACCTTTGCAGTAGGGCTCCAGCAGCAAAACGCGCCTGGCTGGTTCGCGCTGAGCACCGATGGTTCAGACAGCAGCATTGCTGCTTTGGGTGACAGCTCAAGCTGGCTACGTGCACCATGAGGCGGCTCGTGGAGACGGTTCGGGTTGACTTCAGGATGACGCTGACAAAATTGCTCTCCAAACGCTTGGTTCCCGGCTGATTCTTCTTTCATTTGGGTCAGGCCCTTCTTTACACATGTGGCGGTTAGTAAGGGACGATCCCAGCCATAAAAGGCTGCGGCCGCCTTCTTTGTAACTCTTTACATGGTTCTGGGTCGACAATTCTTTGGTACCGGGTTTTGATTATGGTTCACATGGGCAGGACTACCTGGAAGACGATTTCTTCAAGAAGTGGGACTTTGTCTCTGGGGATGATCCCACCCATGGCTTCGTAGACTACCTGACGGCTGAGAAGGCCGTGATGGAGAACTTGGTCCGAGCAGATGCTTCAGGCACAGAGGGCCCCGCAAGAACATTTTCGGGATACAGGATCTTGTGCTGTCTTGTATTCGCCTTAGGTGTTTTCATTGGAGTCGACAACAAGTCCGTCGTGCCTGGTGGACACCGCGGTCGGAAGTCAATCCGGCTGGAGTCAATTCAGCGGTACAACTCCGGCCTTTTCATCATCTCTCTGGACCATGTGCCCACAGGCAGGAGCACGCATGTGAAGGTTGCATGGTTTAAAAAAGGCTAGCTTCTTGAGGCTGTCGAGCGCTGCTTCTTGCTACCTACAGTGTTTAGGCGCGGTTTGGCTTTCAGGTTGCGGCAGCTGGCCCGCCTTTTGGATGTTTGGAGATGATGAGGATCACACCTGGCCGGAGTGGGGTGAGTTCGACATCATGGAGTGGATCCACGAAGAGGATGAAGTTTCGACTACCCTGCACACCAAAGCGGGATGTGCCCAAAAGCACCTGGAGCCCGGGAAGGACATGAAGGCCTCATGGAACCCTGGCATGTGGGGTGGCACCGATGCCAATGACTGCTGGGTGCATGCTACGGGACAGTGGGCGAACCAGGGCTGCTCCCAGCGCGGCCTGACCAAGACGATCGGCCCCTCCTTCAACGAAGGATGGGGCTTGAAATCGGGAGCCAGAGTAGCAGCCAGGTCCAGCCAGGTTGCTAACAATGGGCTTGCTTACCTTTTTTTAGCTTGAAAGCGTGGCTTGAACAATTCGCAATTCCGCATTGCACGTTTAGGACTGAAAGAAGATGGTACAAGCTCACTGCAAATAAATGCGTTTCAAATGGTGCCTTGCATGTATTGAAGGCTGGCCCCCAACCCATGAAGGGGGCGGCGGCACCTACGCCGCCGAGTGGGACCCCATCGCCAAGCACATGCGGGTTTGGATCTGGGCAACGGGCAGCGAGCCCGCCGACGTCACAGCAAAGACGCCAGACCCGGATCTGTGGGGCCAGCCTACTGCCTACTTCTCCCTGGGCGACGATGTTTGTCACACCAACCACTTCAAAAACATGCGCTTGGTCCCTTGACCCTTCCACCAGTAGTTTCGCATTCAAAGTCTTCCCGAGTCTTCCCGCCACTGTCGGGTTTTCGGTGCGGCTTTTTGTTTGCATTCTCTCCATGAGGTGTTCGACATCACCTTCTGCGGAGACTTGGCGGGGGCCACCTTCATGAACCACTGCGGGGAAAAGACGCGGGCGCTGGGCCACGACAGCTGCACGGACTACGTGCGCGCGGAGCCCTCCGCCTTCCACGAGACCTATTGGGCTGTGCGGTCGCTGGACGTGTACCACAAGGCCCTAGAGAGGATTTCAACACTGGAGGTTTGGTATTGGCTTGGAGACAACCGAATTTTTTATTCCACAGGGATGCTGTTTTTGAACGGGGGCTCTGGATTCTGGCGGGTTGCTCAGGCCGACCCGGCCCAGATGGCCCAGACAGATGAAGAGCGCCAGTGCAGGCGGGGATTCAATGGAACGCTGCAGAGCTGGGCCACGACCGGCACAGGTCCGAGCACACCAGCACGCTGCAAAACAGGATCCAGGCGCGTTTCTTCGCCTGGCTTTTTTGCGTCCGTGGGAGAAACCGTTTGCACGTGCATCCTTGGATGTTCTTTCTTTCGATTGTCCTTTTTTTTGCGGCTTTGAGAGGAGCTGGAGAGCATCCTCTTCCGAAAGGACGCCGAGCTGCGGGAGCTCTACAGCCGCCAGGCACGCTCAAGCGACGGGGGTGCGGCCGGACGGGCTGCGTTGCAGGCGAGCCCGGACCTGCCGCCAAGTCACAGGCGCGACTTGGGTGACTCGGGCCACGTGGCCAGTGCTGCACAAAAGAGTCAAAAAGTTTGACTTAGTTTTACTTAGCGGGTTTTGTTGAACTTTGCCGCGCGAGTTTGACATTTTGCCTTTGGACTGCGACCCTTCTTGCGTCTGTGTACTGGAGCCTGCTGGAGTTTGTGGCAGGCCTACGGTGATGGAGTCCTAACCTCTGGAGACTCAAAGGCCAAGTTTGAGTTTCACTTCCGTTGTTGCTACGGATTTTGCGACATGTGGCTTTGCGATGCTCCGCCCAAGAGCTGGCCAGCATTGTGGTCTCAACCAGGTTGGTTGTACGGTTGTACAGGTGCAGGAGGTTGCCAGCAATATGGCGCAGTCCCTGCGAATTTGGTTTGATGGATTTAGCATGCTGCTCTCAAGGTGGGCAAAGTCTTGCCGTTATTGTCATGTAGCTCGGATGTGCCGAATTGCTCGCAAAGGCGCCTTATGCAAAGCAAAAGTAAGTCCGACTTGTCCAGTCAATTGTCCAAGCTCCTTGGATGTTCTGCATCTTGGCATTCAGGGGCGTTTGCTGCTTCCTGTGTTCACGCTTTCCCAGCGGCATCTCAGTTTGCTTTTTTTCTCCCAACATTGGGCCCGCCTTCGCCAGCTGGGCAAAGGCCAACAATTCAAGCCCAGTACTTAGGCTTCCAGCAGCTGGGAAAGTCAAATCAGTTTCGTGAGATGTAGATCAAGGAGTAATAGCTTTGGCATGCGAAGGCGCTAGAATTGCTTTCAACACGGTTTTGGCACCTGCCAGAGGCGGCCCCCTCACACCTGCCAACCAACCATTTCTTTTTCACAATCCTGTTTGATGTGATAGCCTTTCAACATCTTGTGGCAGCTTGTGTGCGCTCGATGGTTGGAAAAGGTAGTCAATTTCCTGGAATCCGTACTGCAGGGTCTCCCTTGATCCTCTTCGGCCTTCACCCGAGATCGAGCAGGGGTTCCTGCACTTCCCTTTGATCCTCTTGGGCCATTTCGCACATTTCCTCTCCAGTTCCCAGTCAGTGGATACTTGCCCGCTGATCCCACTGTCAAGTTGGACCTTTCGGCAGGAAGCACTTGAAGCCTGTCGGTATGCTCGGCTGTGGCGGCTTTGGGTGTGTGGAGCCGGCGCCCCAAGAAGGGAGGTAGCCGACCTGTCCAGACCGTGCCTATCCTGTGCCCACTTCGGGTGGAATTCGTTGTTCATCAGGCGTTTTCACACTCACTTTGGAAATCGGTCCCGTCCCAAAACTCAATTACACCAGCATAGACCCCAGATAGCGAAAAACAGGCGGATCATTCCACACCAGCACCTCTAACAGCACCCCCGAAGGGCGCAGCAAACAGCACCCCCAGAGCACACGGCCGTCAACCTTGCAAAATGCGCCCGTACCATCACCGGCACCTCCAACGGCCACCCCAAACAGCGTCCCAAAACAGCACCTGCACCAGCACCCCCAACTGCACGCCCCCCAGCACCCAGTCGGCAATCTCGCAAATCACTGTCCCCTCTTTATTTGAAGTTAGAACATAGCTTTCAGCTATCTGGGGCCGGGGAAAAATCGAACAGGGCTGGCAGCGGACACATTCGCAGGTGAGTCGCGAGAATTCCATGCCAGCGAAAGGAAATGATCCGGCGCGCGCGTAGTCGTCCATTTACACCCCACAGAGGTCGTTGCTCTTTTGCTTTCCGAGGCACATGGAAGAACAACCGCATGCAAGAATATCGCTTCTGGGGAGGTTCGTGATGTTGAAGAAGAGTGTTACATTTACTACCAGTCACGCGGTTTGGTTCCGGACCTTTTGTGTGGCGGCTCATGAGTTGGAAAAGGGTCGACTCGGTACCGAACCCCAACCAAGTCGCCGGGTGGGTGTCCATGTGGCCCAGGTTAGTGGAGCATGAGCTCACGGGAGAAACCTACGCACTGAAGGCGTGAGTTGTGAAAGGGCACGTGACTGATGCTCACGCTGGCAGGCAATGAGCAAGGGCTACATTGTGAAGTGCGGCATGAAGCAGAGCGTGCTGACAGATGCTTGACATGATATGACAGCTTGACGTATAGTTAGCCACGGCGTGTTGGTGAAGCTGCTCTGAGGAGAAAGCGGTGCAGATGATGTGTGATTCCCTATTCATTGTGCGGCTCTTTGAGAGCCTTGGCTTACATTTAACCGTCTCCGTTGCCAAAGTGCCGGGCTGTTGCGGCGTTGTGCAGCAGCAGGACGTACAAGAATGATGTCAGCCGGCCCCTGAGTCGACAGATGGTTTGCACTTGGTAAATCAACGGCTGCAAAATGCTTGGTCCTAACTTTGTAGGTTTTCCCGGGCGCAAGGGAGTGGCATTGTGTTGGTGGGTTTCCCTTCAATTTCAGGATGTTCCCGTTCAGTCTGACCTCTCTTGGCGAGACCCGCTCTTTTGTGCACTGGTGTGCGGCTCCAGAACTCCGACTTAGCCTTCATTCACGCTTGCGACACGCCCAGCTCTGTACTTCCTCCTGGAGGCTGCGCTTGGGGGTGAGCTCTATGCAACGCAGGGAGCACAGCGAGTGTGGCAAGACCCCTCACGCCCACCAAGAACAACTTGAGGGGTTTAGGATGGATTTCCAGACCAAAAAGCCCTGCTGTCAAGCCATGTGTGCCAAGGTACAACAAGAAAGGTTTCTTCGGCAAGGACGCAGCCTGCTCTGCTGCTGTTGTTTCGGTCGGTGCGGTATCGACACAAAGGATCCTTATCGCTTGATGGTTTCCGTCGCTATTTACACAAGAACTTTGCCTGAAATCTGGGCAGAGTACAAGAGCCTTGTTAAACCAAGACCCATGTGTGTTCAGTAGCCTTGCCGTGTGGCAGTTGCTTTCCTGCATGACAAGAGGCCCAGAACCAAATATGTCCTCTCTATCACCTTTCGAGAGATAAAGTAGTTCTGTGAGGGCGTCGTTGCCATGGCTGCGAAAGAGGCGGCTGAGAGGCGTCGTCATTGGGGGACTTGTGCTTGGAACATGTGGCAGCACGTGTTTTGAAGTGTGGCAGACTGCAGACTTGACATCTCGCGTTTGTCTCAGACAATGGTTGGATCACCGTGCTCCATGTCGGATGGGTGTACAGGACACCCAAAGGAAGCAGGGTTCCCCCAGTTTTGGAGCGGCGCATGTCCTGCACGCCGCCTTGGCACTTTCGAAGCTGCTCTGGCTTTGCGTAGTTGGACCTGCTGCTGCTCCGGTAATCCAATTTTAGAGGAATCCAATTTTAGAGGAGCTAGGTAGGCTTCGGTGTGCTGTCAACACATGTTTTCGAGAACTGTGCTGGCCACTTCAGACCAGTACAGATCCCTGATGAGTTGTGAACAGGGAAAATCCAAACGCATATCAACAGCCTATTGTCACCGGGCACATGATCAAGTTGGCCTTTGCCAAGAGCATGACCTTCGCAATGCTGAAGCTGCGCTTGTGCTGCTTGCTCGCTTTTGCCACTGCCGTGGACTTGACCATCGAAGGCGCTGGCTTCTTTGGGCCGTGGGGACGGGCCATTCCCAGCTGTTTCGCGCAGATTTTTGCATCGGGAGCGGCCAGCAAGCTCAGGTGATGGGTTGGCATCGACCACCTCGGATCACTTTCTTTGTTGGAACATTGACGGCAGCCGCAACCGAGAGTTCTTTTCCAGAAATCTTTCGGCCGCTTGGCAAGCCCCTTCAGCCCATGGGTTGCGCAGAGGCGGCACTCCCACTTGTATCGGCAGCACATGGTGACGCCGCTTTGTCCGATCCAAGATCTGCCGATTGTAACCGGGAAGGCAAACCAAGGCGCCCTGCCTTGGAGAAGAGGGGTGAGAGCAAATGCGTTGCCCCAAAACTCCCAAAACCCAAGAAGCTAAGCTGGCTGCTAGGGCTCTCCAATGCCCTAACCGCAGTCACGCTTGGGCAAAGAAAAGGCTACGAGGAATTGGCTGGAACCCACATGCCCCCAAGAAAGAGGCGGGATACTGTGTATCCATGTTTATACCGAAAGGCGGCCTCTAAAGAGCTAGGTGGCTAGATTGCTTGCAGTCTGACGGTGCCCCTTCCCAACAGAATTTGAGAAATTGGGTGGTACTGTTGGGTAGGCGTCCCAGGCAGGCGATTCAATTCCCGCTTTGTCCGGGCTGGAATTGTTTGCCGGTGTTATTACTTCTTTTCATTAAACATGACCCACTGGATGAATGAAGATCAAGTTGTTGCGATCAGTTGTCTCGCAGAGTCCAGGTCTCGACGAACTTGATCCCTAGGTGGCGCGACCCTTGGGCGCCCAGCTGGCGAGGCTGGCGCGGGCCATCTCCGGGCAGGGAGCGGTGCTGCGGTTCGGTGGCACGGGCAACGACTACCTGACCTACGAGTTTGGGCGGCTCGCACCGGACTCCGAAAGGAAACGGCCCTTAAGGACTTGAGGTCTGTGGCCGATTGCCATTTCTGTTGACTGGGAAAGGGCCCTCCGGTCTTGAGTGGGAGGGAAAGCTTTTTGAGCTTCAAGCACTCGTAAGAGTACGCAGTTAAGCGAGGCTGGAGCCTCAACGAAGCTGAGGACGTCATCCTGCCCTCCGCCGGGTAATCCAGAGAAGGAGTCGCAGAGTGTCCTTGGCCCACTGAAAGCCGAGCTGGGCAATGGTGATGCTTTGATTCTGGCACACTGGATGGTCAACTGCTCAAAAGACAGCCAGACAGCCCCGACTCCATCTTTGGGGCATTGCCTGTCCGTAACTTTAGGACATACGACATCTTCAGGCCGATTCTCCGATTGCTTGCGCTTCGATCGGCAGGAGTGCATGAACGCGACGCAGTGGTCGGAGCTGTTGGACTTTGCGGAAGCTTCCAACGCGCGGATCCTCTTCGGGCTCAGTTTGAACACAGGCGAATTTCCTGGGCTTGGCTAACCTTTGGGTGAACAAGGTTTAGCCTCCGGGTTAAACATGTTGAAACCATCAGTTGCAGTTTGAACAACCTCCTTGTGGTTCCTGGCGTAATGGGGACACGGGAGCTGACGAAAGTGGTTTCATGTTTGTAGCGGAAACTGGGCGGGTTCCCCGACCGCCAAACTTGTCTCAAAGTGGTGGACCAGGGCCCATGAAGCCTCCGTTTTCCCTTTACCCAAAGGCCCTGACCGGCAAACATGGGCAAACGCAGTCAGGTCACGACATGGGCGACGCGGATCTCGGGTTCAAGGCCTGGGACCCCAGCAACGCCCGGGAGATCTTGCAGTGGACCATTGCGCAGCGCCGCGATCACCTGCTCTTTGGCCTGGAGCTGGGGAACGAGCAAAACAAGGTGCGGGCCGAAAGGAACGCCGCCAAGGGTCACACCCTCGCAGGTTTTCCATGAAGATCCCGTTTTTTTCTCCAAACTCTTTGGAGCCATTCAATTGGATGTTGGGTGAACTCCCTCCAGAGCGCAAGGAACGTAAACAAACTTCCAGCGCAACTTGGCTCCCAATTAGAGACCTTTGCAGGCCTTCACGGGACGGCAGACAGCGCTGAACCTGAAGGTCCTGCATGAGCTCATGGTGGGGCTGTGGCCTCTCCAGCGCCGGCCGCGGCTATTGGGCCCGGATCCGCACAGCCTGCACGGGAAGCGACGGGATGAGGCGGGACCCGGCCGAAGCCAGCTGCCGGTCTCAGGAGACGAAGTCGGGGGATCCCTTGGTCATACACGCAATCCAATGAGCACACAGAAGCGAGCCGCTCAAGTTTGATTTCTTACCGTGAGGTTCAATTAAAGTTTGCATGCAGACCGTTTTTGTTCTTTGCAAATGGGAGATGCCTTCGGCTTTGGGCAAGAGAGTTCTCGGTTGCTCCAGGGAGCCTTGCAGTACTCGGAGGACTTTGCGCGGGCCGCCGCAGAGCTGGGCTTGCCACTCTACGGCGCCACCATCCATCAATACATCGAGTTGGAGAGCGATAAGTTCCTTGCTTGTCCTTGTCGGTTTTTGATGAATCTGTGCAACTCTCATTTTCAGTGTGTGTGTGTGTGTGTGTGTCTGGACTATCCCCACCCCTTTAGGGTCCGAAAATGGGGGGGGATGTCTGAAAATGTAATTTTCGGCCGCCCCCTCCCCGCAAACAAAATGCAAGCCGACCCCTTCACAAAGTGTATATTTCCTTGTTTTGTTGGGGGGGCGGGGAGAGGGGGTTAAACTGTAACTTGACACTGGGCACGTAGAAGTTACATTTGTCTCATCCCCCCCAATGTTGATTGACATGTTCACGGATTTCCCTGGGAAGCTTGATAGGGTGGGTCAGTCGCAAAATGCATGCTGATGATGCTGGAGGGGCAGATGTGGCGTATGCGCAGGGGCTTTTGAAGGGGTAAGTTCATGAAACTGGAACTTGGTTTTGTGCGAGGTACCTTGCTGCCACCTGCGTCCAACATGTAATGCAATTCTACATTTTGGCAGATTTCCGGGCCATCCTGCCGATGTTTCCCAAATTCAATTTGGGATGGTGTCAGGAAGGGAGCGAAACATGAACCAACCAACCCACGCTGTCGGTGCGCGACACAAAGCTGAAACACGGGTCCATTGACTTTGCCAGCTTCACCCTTTGCGTTCGGAGTCAGCCAGGTTTTTGGATGGCGCCTTCCTCGACATCTCCTCGACCATCTCTGGCCGTTTCAAGAAGCACGTGCTGTCCGGTTGGCACCAGGGCGATCGGGAAGGGTCGTCCCGGGCCCCTCGAATGTGGGTGGGGGAGGGCGGGCCGCACAACGCGGGCTCGCCGCCCTGCAGCGTCGAGTCCATGCGCTGGGCCAACTTCGGGACGGCGCTTTGGTGGGTGGACGCCCTTGCGCAGGTGGCAGCACTGGGCTACGAGGCCTTCTGCCGCCAGGACTTCGTGGGGGCGGACTACGGGCTCTGCGACTGCGCCACCGGCAGCCCGCTGCCGGGCTACTGGGCTTCGCTGCTGTGGTCCCGCCTCATGGGCCCCGGCGTGCTGCACGTGAAAGGGGGAAAAAGGGGCGGCGTCCGCGGCTACGCACACTGCGCGGCGGAGGCGCCCGGGTCCGGGGCGCTTCTGCTGGTGAACCTCCAGGGCCCGGCGCAGGTGCGAGTACAGGGCCTTGCCGGAGACCGGGTGGAGTTCCACCTGACTTCTGTGCAGAAGCCAGGGCTAGGCAACGGCACAGGGCTCCTAGGCACCTTGGTGGAACTCAACGGGGAACCGCTCCATCTTTTGAAGGATGGCTCAGTGCCCAAAGTGGCCTCACTGGGGCGGGTTGTGGCAGAGGCTCAGCCAATTCTTTTGAAGCCCCACAGCTTTGCCTTCGTTCTTTACAACGCGAGTCAAGTTCCGGCTTGCCTCGAACAGGCAAACGCTCTTTACACGTAAGGGTCACAGAGCCTGCCTTGGCTGCACACCCTGCACCGCGACAAATGTCCTGAATAGTTCGTTTCATGTGAAGTTCTTAGTCCAGGGGTCCTGCCCGAGCATGTTCAATCGCAGGCAGGGGCTCGACAAGTTTCTGAGCAGGCGCAATGTCGAGGGTGTCGTGCAGGACTGGCCTTGAGGTTTTTGTTTGGTGTTGTGGCATGTGTGCAACGGGAGTTGAGCCCTGCCGGGGAAAAACATGTTTTCTGAAATACCCGCCTATGTTTCTATTTGACACCCATTGAGTCGGAGTCCAAACACCAAGTCTTGGCATAGCGGCATCA